ATATTACTACGCTTTCGAGCAATGAAGATAGTAATAACTGCAGATATAGAGAAAGCATTTCTACAAATCGAATTACAAGAAGAAGAAAGATCAAATACTAGCAGAATCCAAGAAGTTACTGATTCATCAACCAATTATAATAAGGTAAAGGGAATGGAAATTGAGGAACTGATGGCCCTATTGCTAGTCGAACTAGAAAGGCTCAACAACAATCGACTCCAGCAGGAAATACAGTTAAAGACAATTCCACTAGTCTTACGAAAGCGCTCTTCGTAATGACTATTCTATCATTAATGTCAACCCAGGCAATAGCAACGAAGAATTGCAATTGGACTTCAGGGATACCGTTCAATATTCCGGAAAGGTGGAGTTGTGACAACAAAACCAATCATACAATAATAAACCTGAATTGTGGATTCAATAACTCTTATTTAATGAAAGGAAATATTATTCTGGACGTGAACAATAACACTGATGATAAATCAACAACGAATTTGAATCAAACCCAGGAAACGAAACGACAAAACGATTACTTCTGATGGAAATTTCCCTAGAAGAAACGTTTAACCCAAACAATGTGAAGTTTCAATATATCTTTGCTTCTCTCAGACGAGAATTCATCCAATTACTCAAGGTAACCTGTCAAAGAAGCTGCCAGAATAGAAATAACTTACTATATTTGATTGAGATGTCCGGAAATTATCCTACTCTGGCTGCAGAAATGCTACTGCAAAGAAATGATGTAATAGGTAGGAGGGAAATTGGGCAATTACTGGTAGCACCTTGTAAGACTAATGGAATCACACATCGAGTTCAGTGGAGGATTAAAAGGCAAATTTGAAGTCGAGAGAATCAATGCTGAATTGGAACTTGTAAGTCACTATCACGATACAATTAACTTAATATCATATCAACAAGAAGACGACTCTATTTGGGAAGAAATCACAAAGGAAGGACAACAATTGGCAAACCAACTAGTGAAAGAACTCGACCAAGTCAAAGATTCGATACAAGAAAAATTGAAAAACATAGTGAATCATTGGAAATTAATAACCATTTGCATAGATATTCTGATTATATCAATCGTATTAATCATTATCAAGTTGAAATTCGAATTATTTAAATCCATAATTTGCCTACCTCATAGACGAAATTCACGTTCAATAAATATCATTATCCTTCCTACAAATTTAGTAGAAACCCATTCACTAAACAACGTCACTAAAGGCTCCGTTATTAAACTTAATACATTTTCATATACACCTGAGGAACTCTCAGTTGAACTT